TAGAAGAGAAAAAACTTGAGTGAGAAGAAAGCCTTTGTTAAAAGAAATTAAGAAAGAGAAAAACTCAGAAAGAGAAAAATTATTCTGAGATCCTCGAAACATATCCAAGCGTTTCCTGGATAACAGCTTCTTCTTATCCGATTGCTCCTGAAGTTTCTTCACCTGCGTCTCCAGGCCATGCTTGGCAATTGTAGCAAGCGATTTAGACTTCACAACAGCTACAAGATCCAAAAGCTGCTCCCATTCCCCTCCGACAGTGAAGTCAATTCTGACGATCGGCTTGCAAGGGAGGTTGGCAAGGAGAGTGATTTGGCCTCCACTGGAAGGGGCTCTTCCACCTCCATAGCAACATCTTTAAGATCACAAACCAGCATTAGAATCAATGAGAATTCAATCAATTTAAACGAGATCAAAATCCTACAAATTCATCTAATACAGGTTTGGGCTCTTACCTTCAGCTGGCAACGCTTCGTCAAGCAACAACTTTCCCTCAGAAACGATGGAGTCAGAAGAATTTTCATCTGCAATTACACAAAAGTGAAAATTCTCTTCAAATGGAATCGTCCTTTAGACGTGAAAATTCTCTTCAAATGGAATCGTCCTTTAGACGTGAAAATTCTCTTCAAATGGAAATCGTCCTTTAGACGTGAAAAATCTCTTCAAACTAAAAACATCCTTTAAACGTAACTTTCTTTAATTAAAACAACCTGTAAATGAAGCTCCTTTTACAGCTTTAAAAAAAAAAAACATCTTAAAACTTTTGAAAAACGACCAACTGTTAGAAATTAGCAATGAAACACTCACCTTGTTGAATGCCTGGATGTCCAGAGATCTCCGATGCAGACAAAGCCATCATGTTTCTCTTATTTTTTATTGAACTTAAAAGTGAGTATCAAACTTGAGGTATTCAAAATTTTCACAAAACGCACAAGATCTGAAATAAAAAGGCATTATTCTTGAATCCAATCAAGTCGTGAAAACAAAGAATCAACACAGCACTCATTCCACTACAAGATTTACTCGCTCTGAAATAGGGTGACCTTTGGTCACACAGACTCACAATTTCTGCGACAACAGAAAATTTTGGCACGGAAAGGTCTCGCAACCTCTGGTTGCACAGATTCTGATATTTACTGAAAACGCATGGAAAGTTAGCAACCTCTGGTCACACAGACTCTACCCTAACACAAGGGGGAGCGTTACAACTACTTTTTTAAGGTCCAGGCGATGGATTTGGGTCTTTTAACACAAGACCACTACTCCTTGGACTTTTGACCTCCAACTGGGGAGGATACGCGACACTAGACTATCCGTCGAAACGACAGATAAGTCTCAAAAGGGAAAAGTTCAACCTTTGGTAGAAAAGACTCACAACTTTCTATCACATACGATGAAACAAAAGCGCACTCGAGAGAATCAAAACAAGGGGATTAAAAACTGAGTTACCGGAATCAAGAATTATTCAAATTTTGCAACAAACCAAGCTTGCAACAAATTCACTGCACCAACGAAGGACACCAATCCACATCACGCTTCACTGACCTTATTGAGTATCTCTTTTCTGCACTTCGAGATCTGAGACTGGCCAGCTCAGGTCTCAAACTCTTAACAGTCCTTTCAAACCTATTTTACAATTTTTTCTAATTCAAGGATTTTTATACCTAGACAACCGAATTCAGGTCTCTGCTCAGCCAAACTATGTAACAGAAGCTCGAAATTTGGCGTTTATATTCATCTCGCCAAGCAGACATGACGCACCGTACCGGTACACTACGTCATCATCATCAATGGCGACTCATCTACACGAAGACACACCCCCGCCTTTCCTCAGCAACTGCCTATATCAGGAAACGCCTCAAAAAACAAGTTACCAGCAGCTGCAAGAAGACGAGAATTTATGACTTTGCGCTACCTTCAAAACTTCTAAGCTTTACGACCGGATTTTTTCAACACGTTTTTTCCGTCACAAATGTTTATTACCCTCACTTACTGAGAATCGGCTCAACCTTCTATAGAATTGCGCAACGACCCTTTGTTTCTTCAGAACTCATACTCTCCTCATAAACAAAGGGGGGGGGGTTTTTGTCGCAAATTTTCTGAGGCACTTCTGCAGAACCAAGCATATCGAATTTAATCGCCAGCCTCGAGCTGATGGAAAGTAATTTTTCATGTCACTTTTCTCAATGTTTTGAACTTAATCTTCAAAGAGAAAACACCAAACAGCGCCTTTAGAATTGAAAGTCATAAACAGAGACGAGTTTCGGCAATTTGCCAAAACTTGTCCTTGGATCCTTCCGTGAGAATCAGGTTACTCACCCATTCTCACAAGAACCAAAAAAATGGACCTTTAGTCCTTGAAATCTAAAGTTTAAACGTTGAATACCAGCAACTTCCCCCAACGGCGGAAGCTGTAATCTAACCCAAAAATCTCTGTGGAAAACTTCCACAAGAAACCCTTTTTTCCTGAGGAAATGTCTCAGGATTTTGAGTCACTGTCTCTCAAACCATTGTACTGTGCTGAACATACAAAGTACTGGCAAACTTATTTGAAACTGTTGAAAAACTTGTGAACCTTGTGAATACAACTCTTTTTAAAATAGGGTGTTCTCGAGCACCCCGGTTGCAGCCCAACCGATTCCTGTGTTATAATTTTTCTTTCCTTTGTGTACAATATTCTACATTTAAATCTTTGTGACACCACTCACGAGTTTTTTTTTCTTTGAATCATATAGCAAAAGGGATTCAATATTCCTTCATTTCCATGAATGAATGAATAGAAATTGCAATTAAATTCTCATCACACAGGTTTTTGTGGATGCAGATTATCGAATTCAATTGTTGGTTGAATTATACACGAGGTTCATCTTTGACTTATCCTTGCTGAGTAAATGTCCGCTGACGTCGACAAAACTTTTACCCAATTTATTCTTCCTTCGGCACAAAATGTGTGTACAGATATAACGTCGTAAAAGTCAGTCCATTTCAGCTTTTCCGTTGAAGAATATCCATCAATGCGAATTAAATTCCCTTCCTTGCTTTTCCCGCAGCTTGTCACGAGTGTCAGCAGCAGGACTGGCAGACAAATGGATGAACATGACCATGGATATTTCTCGACAAGAGTACTACAAAAAGTTGAGATCGACAGAATCGTCAGCAGTTGACGGGAATAACCTCGAAACTTCGTCGACACGTGGCCATGGATTTTCCGAAACGGTTTCAGAATTGACAATCGCCATCAAATTGGACCACGTTCGAGTGGTTTTCATTTTCTGGAGTGCGGGTTTGACTTCCGCCTTTGTCTGTTTCTTGCTAGAAATGACGTTTCATCGCGTGAAGAAGCTAATTACTTCTGCAAAATAAAAAAAATATGGACTGATTGATTCAGTGCTTTACTGATTATATCGCATTCGAAAAGCTAGGCAACGACGGAATGATTGCTAGTTTTAGCAACGCATTGAATACAAATCGCCACTTCTTCTCAGACGCGTTTGTGGATTTATTTCTGAATTCCCGGGCCAAAGTAGAAAGGGTTTCACAATTAAAAGAATTGCATTTTCAAAATGTTCAGTGTTTAAACACTTAATTAAAAAAAAAAATTATATACTTGTTTTCTACAAAAAACTGGTCTGATGTTGTTCATTTTCCACAAAGATGGGTATATGATGAATTAGAAAATAAAATCCTACGTATCGGTTTTAAAACATCAATCATAGTTTTATTAAATTACAGTTTAGATTGTTTGCAATTTCTTTAGGTTCAATTAGGATTTTTCAAACTTAAAGCTAACGCATTGCACAAAAAGTGCGAGGACAATGAGAGAAAGGGTACCCAACCAAACCCCCCTTGCAAAAAGCCCCACCCCAAAAAGCTCCCCCTGCCAAAAGCCCCCCTAGGTCAAAAGCCCCCCCCCCCCCACTTTTTTTTGGATGCAAGTGTTTGGTGGCCCTAAGAAGGGCTGCTTGGTTTCAATAGTCCTCAAAATGACTGTTAAATAATCATCTTCAAAATTGCCTTCTGCAGCCTCTTCCTTGGTGTCACTGATGCTCTCAATGTCATTTTCATCTCAATGCAGCCATCTTATCTCATCTCTTCCAGCACCTATTACTGGCATTTGTGCTTTTAAACTTGAAATAATAGCCATTGTAGTACGCCTTTTCACCACGCTTCTGATTTTTGATGATCTCAAGTGCACCAGCAGCCATTGGACCAACAAGGTGAACTGTAGATTTTGCAGAAGTCAGCAAGTGATGATGCTTTGACATTCAAAGAATCACTGATGACCAAATCAGTGGGTGAGGAATCCCATTATATACTCAACTTACAAATATATTGGTACTTGGCCTTGTGCTGGGTCTGCTGATGAAAGGTGCAGCTTACCATCAAGAGTTACAAGGAGACCTGTAATCCCCAATTTTGCATCAAGGGGGGCTTTTGACCTAGGGGGGGGGGGCTTTTGGCAGGGAGGGCTTTTGGACTACACCCGAGAGAAGGAGAGAAAATGCATTAGATGTGGCAGCTTTTCTTGCACAAAAAAAGGAAGAGGCATTCTTAAAAATAAATATTACAGTATGTCATCAAAGGTATCGAGGTTTATTCTTGAAATAGGGCTAAAATTCAATATTCTTTCTCCCTCAAATACCGTAGTTCCAGGACATTTTCGATGACCAAGTCTCATTTTCTGGGAAACCGGGTTGCGGCTTTCAGGTTCCAAGTCTGCTGGGTATACGTCTTTTACGGATTAGCAGCTTCATCAGGTTGGTTTCAAGGGCAACCATTTTATCTACAAAAAATATTTAATCAAAATATTCAAAATAAATGCTGCCGAAAACGTTTTCCAGGAATGACACCACAACAAATAGAGTCCGACTGCCAACGAAGAATTTTTCAGCGAATCAGAGAGGATTTTGCGCCTGATCTTCTCATTCAAGACAACCCAATTTTCCTCTCGGGTGAGACTCATTTTCCCGATCGATGTTTTGCTAGTGTCAATTTCTTTACTTCTGCAATAAATTATTTTTTTGCAGGAGAAATCGATTGGCCAATTTTCAGGATCGGATGCAATGCAACTGAAGAAATTGTTCGCTTGTTGACACTGCACAAATTCGCCGGACATCGACGAATTCTCTTACAGTGTTCTGAAGATCAAGGAACGCAAATCCTGAAAGAAGTAAATTTTGCAGCTCATTTTAAAAGGTCAAACTTGAAAAATTGAAGAGGTTAGCTCACAAACAATTCTTGAATATATCTTGGGATTCTAATGAATGTAATACAGTACACCCTTTTGCAATATATTTTTGACAACTTGAACCTCAAATTGAATTTTTAGGGAAATTATGCACTGCACATCCAGAAAGAAGCAGATTTTGCAAATGATTTCAAAAGCTCAAACTTAAATCAAGAGATTAGCTCACAAGAAACTGTTTAGTATCTTAAGTGATTTTACCAAATTTCCTCATGCCTCATTGGGCAATTCAATTTGTGTCTATTGAACCCAGCAAATAATTCACCCATGTTGAACCTGCATTACACAGGTGATGGTTGGCGGTATTTAGATATATGTTGGGAATTAAGCAAAACTGACTTTTAATAAAATAAAACTCAAGAATTTGGTTGGGCTACAACTGGGGTGAATTTTACCCTATTTTAATATTGGTAATATCAGTTAAACAGAATCAGACACTTCAAAATTTAGCAGGATCTTTCAAACAGCACACACAAGATTCAGATTTGGAATGTCAAAAATATGAAAGAGAAGGCATCAGGAAAACTATCCTTCAAGGATACTGGGAGTTGGCCAGAGATGGCCATCACAAATATATAAAAACAGAATTTCAGTGAAACCAACCTCAGAGGTCAGTTTGCACCACCTCAGGAATTCCAAGGAGCACAGGGTTTTCCACCAAATTCCAGGAATCCCAAAGGGTGGGGAAGACAAGTTTGTAGCTTGACAAACTGGTCTTCCCTCAACCCCATCTCATAAATTTGAAACAATGGGCATTTTTTTTTTTTACAGATAGGTGACACCCATAAAAGTCACCCATTAATTATTCACTTATGTCACATCAGTATTGGGATAGGGGTGACAGTTATGGGTGAAGTGCCCCCCTCCCCCCTTCTGAATACTGTGGAAAAACGGCTCCATGATGAAATCCCGTAGGAGAAAAAATCCCACGGCCCAAAAATCCCGTGAGGCCAAAAATCCCGTAGGCCGGAAAATCTTGCGTGGTCCAAAAATCCCATAGGTACAAAAATCCCATAGGTACCAAAATCCCAACTAGTACTGTACTACAAAATTGTAATATTGTTTCTTTGGGTTACCCTTCCAACTGTCTGGAAGGAATACAAATCTGGTGGATTATGAAATTGTGAAAGTGCAAGGGTTTTAATTCCTTCCAAAGGGTTGGGAGGTTGAGGGATTGTCTTTCTCAACAGAATCTCACCTTCACTTCCTCACCCTTCTAAAAAAAAAAGGTGAGGAAGCCTGGGGAAGATGTTGTGGTCATTTGGAGCCTTCATCCCTGCATTGTTTTGTATATAAACTGAGTACTATTCCAATGATTTTCACAGCCCAACTTTCCCTTCTGAAATAATAAACTTGCATCAGTTTGGGTGGAAATCTTGTAGAGTTGAAAATTTGTGGACTTTTTATAGATTTTTTTATTTTATTTCTTATATACATCATGTACTGTATATTGAATATTAAGATTGAAAATGAAATATCACTATATATAACTGCATTTAGACTTTGTTGATATTATGAATTTTTCAAATACCATTGCCTTCTGTAGTTTTCAAACTAGGTTTTTCTGATCTGAAAATTCATTTTCCGGGATTTTTGTACCTACCAGATTTTTGGGCCTATGGGATTTTTGGCCACACGGGATTTTCCGGCCGCAGGATTTTTTCTCCCACGGGATTTTATCCTGCACCTGGAAAAACACCCATACAGTATCAGCATAGCTGTATTTTATATGTCTGATACTGGTGCTGTATGCCTTCTTATGTATTATTGTCCGGCTACCCATACCTGTATACGAGGGTTCTAACAAAAGTTCTTGGAGTCAACCACAAGCCATCACCGGAGATGGATGAACATTTTTTTATTGGATTCCTCATCCTTTTTTAAGCTAGAACCAATTTTTTTGTCATCCCTAGACAAAAAATAGAAACTGGGAAAAAAATTGAATAAGTTTTTTCTGGTGCTGTGCCCATCCATTCCAACAGAAGTTCTTGGAATGAAAATGAAAAAAAACTTTTGGGTCAAAAAAATTTTCTTATTGACAAAAAACACTTTCCCTTAATTTTTTTATTGGATTCCTCATCCTTTTTTAAGCTAGAACCAATTTTTTTGTCATCCCTAGACAAAAAATGGAAACTGGGAAAAAAATTGAATAAGTTTTTTCTGGTGCTGTTCCCATCCATTCCAACAGAAGTTCTTGGAATGAAAATGATTAAAAACTTTTGGGTCAAAAAAATTTTCTTATTGACAAAAAACACTTTCCCTTGAAGCCCTTCTTTCACAGTTGGAAACAACCAAAATTCTCAGGGAGCAAGTAGATCAGGGGAGTAAGAAGGAAGAGTAAAAAGCTGGATGCCCAAATTTGAAATGAAATCAAGAGTTTTCAAAGCAGTGTGTGCATGAGCATGCATGTGCGCAACTGCTCTTTCGTCATGGGTGGGCACTTCATTGGATACCACTCATCATTCAAGTTTTTATTTTGCCTTTCCATTTTTGTCTGGGAATGAAAAAAAAACAATTCTAGGCCAGAAAAGGATGAGGAATCCTATAAAAAAAATCCACATCCATCTCCGGTGACAGTTTGTGGTTGATTCCAAGAACTTCTGTTAGAATGGGTGGGCACATCACCAGAAAAAACTCATTCAATTTTTTCCCAGTTTCCATTTTTGTCTAGGGATGACAAAAAAATTGGTCCTAGGCTAAAAAAGGATGAGGAATCGAATAAAAAAATGTTCATCCACCTCCGGCAATGGCTTGTGGTTGACTCCAAGAACTTTTGTTAGAACCCTCGTATATCCAGACAATTCACCCATATCCAGCAAACTATGGATTATGGGTTGGCTATAGGTAATCTCATGCCTGACTTTTACACCTACCAAAACTATGCCTGATTATTTGCTGGGAAACTTATATTTCATCATGGAAGAATTATTGAAATTATATAATGTTTGCTTTAACAAAAAAATACGAACAGGTCTCAAAGCAGCGAGCATCAAGATGGAACCTGAATTGGATCTGGTTATTTCTGGATAACACACAGGAAACAGACAAATTATTCGCTTCAAATCCAGTTTGGCTCACAGAAAGTTTCCAAATCGCATTTTTTCAGCATTACTTGGAACCCGAAAGTGCAAATTGCTCAGATTTGAGCACAATTTCAGCACACAAACTTGTCCACGAATATGGACCTTTCCAGAGAGAACCAGTGATTCGTTTGACACATGTGCCCAAGAAAAATTACTTTCGAAAGAATGGGAGCGTTTTCTACAAAAATTTGTTTCACACTGCTGCTGAATTTGCGAGGGAACAACGAGGAAAAATGAAATTGGCATGTGCCGTCATTGATGACTTGATTCCTTGGATGGATGTCAAGATTGATCAGCGGATTGGACAATTAGTTTTGCACACTGGGACTGAAGCTGAAATGCTGGGATTGATATTCAATCATTTGAATTTCACGTGGGTAAAACTTGATGTGACAGTAATATATTTACAATCATTTGATTAATTTTTTTGAAAAATGCTTCGAACATTTCTCATTCCAAATCGTTGTGCACTCCAGGAAAACCAATACGTTTCATTTGGCGGAGAAATAAGGAATTTTTCTACAAAATAATATCTTTGAATCAGAGATAAGTCTGCCATGAATAAAATCAGTTGATTTTATCCATGTCCCAATATCTAGACTAAAATAACAAAAAAAAATAAGAAAGTTTGCGGAAAAATCCTAAGCTTCAAGAAAAGCTTTTAAGGTTTTGCCAAACTTGATTTTGAAAAGACTTATTGTGGATGAGCTACAGGTGATGATGTCACCCATGGAATAGGCCATGTGCCACAAGCCAACTTGGCATATCAATGTTAGAGCCACATTGCTGTGATCTATATTTAATGTGTACCCTTGCTTTGTTAGATATTGAATAGAAAAAACACCAGGATTGTGAGGACAGTTGTGCCAAAAGTTATAAGCCACACCTGGAAAAAATGGCATATGACTCACCACATCAAAACAAGAATACCAAGAAATTAATGTACAAACAAAAAGAAAAGGCATTGGAATAAAACCCTGACTGATACATCCTAGACAACAAAAATATTTCACACAGGTGAATCACCAATTGATCAAAAGAATTAAACTGAATAAAAAACAGGACAAGGGAATCTTCCCTCATCATCAGAAAGCCTTGGAGAAACTTTCCACTGAGAGGGACCTGAACCTGAGCAGAATCACCAGATTCAAATACTGTATCATAACTCTCTGAACCTTGCAGCAGTCAGAGACAGACGTTTTGTATGAATTTGATTGGAGAAAAGAAATCAACAATTTGTGAGGAGTTTGACACTTCAGGCAGCAAACAGCCAATTGAACATTACTCTCTTTATTTTTCTGAAACCCCAATTCTTTGTCTGAGAGCTAGTCTTGGGGACACCCAACAACCCAACAAATAAAATCACCTGTATTTAACCCGTATTAAGGGGTTTTTGTTTGAAAGCAAAAAAAAATCTTTCACTGCATCAATGCCGTGATAAAATGCTTAACCCTGATATCCTCAAAGTTCCTCAAAATTGCAATTTGAAATATAAGTGATTATGCTACACTTTGAGTCACAAAACAAATAAATTACACGTTTTCTCAACTTTTTTCTCCCCCGCTAGTTCAAAATTGTATTTAGTCCCAAATCAGGAATGGGGCATTCCAATGAAAAATGGATCATTTGATGGCTTGATTGGAGAGCTGTCGGAAAATAGAGCTGATATCGTCGCCAATATTCTTGCTATTTCAAGAGCTCGAATGAAATTCGTGGATTTTACAAAACCTTATCTTTATGAGTACACCACCTTCGTCACTCGGAAGCCGGACGAAATCAGCAAAGCATATGCCATTGCAAAACCCTTTTCCGACCAGGTGAACATTTTCTGGTATTCCTTTTCAAAGTGCTGAACTTCTCATCTGAATATATCCATTTTCCTTTCTTGGTTGGATTTAAAAGCTTTACAATTTTAAGTTCATTAATATTTCTGAAGCAAGTAAGAGTAAATTCCAGTTGTTCCCCTTTAAAATATACAAAAAAATATTTTATGAAATTATTAAAAATTCCCTTGAAAAATGCCTGCATAAAAATGTTACCAGCCAAAAAAGCAAGTACCTTCTATCCTGTTTCAAGGTGAAACTTTCGCATTTTAAGACAAAATTAGTCAAGTTTGGACACATATAAACAGAAAAAAGTGGATTTCAGAAAGATGAAGGCTCAAAATTGTCAGGGTTGCTCGAATTTTCCAATAAAAAAATTGGAACGCGCGATTTTACATAAACAAATTTGCTAAAGTAGGTAAGTTTTAAGGCCTTCTGGTTTTTTTACATTATACGGAACAGATCATACTTAACTTATAGCAAAATTGTCAAATGTTCTATTCTAAGCCCAAAAAAGCAGGTTGAAACCGAGATGAAATGCTGAATCATTTTTCTTCCAGGTGTGGCTTTTAACTTTCGGCACAACTGTCCTCACAATCCTGGTGTTTTTTGCTATTCAATATTTAGCAAAGCGAGTATATGCAATAAATATGGATCTCAGCAATGTGGCTCTAACAGTGATCCGCCTATTGATTGGGCAAACGGAAGACTGCAACTTCCAGATTCCTTGGATATCCTTGAAAACTGTTTGGCTCACCTTTTCAGCAAGTTCTTTCATTTTGGCAGGTCTGTCTCCTTCTCAATTGATTGGGGGTACCTTAATTAAATATCCCTAGCTTTGTCTGGCTTATTGAGAATCAACAAGAATCAAAGTCCACACAAAGCAAGACACAGTGCAAATAAAGCATCACAACAAAAACAAAAAATAACACACATTTTCTCCCAGCAAGAGAGTTCTTTTGTCCCCAATTGTATCACCTTGTTGAGAATCTAGGGAAATTTCTTCAAAGTTTGTATTTTGTCAACTTGTGAAATGCTCGATTTATTACAATTTAAGTGTCACAAAATCGCTGTGGAACTCGAATTTTGCAATAAATTTACTGAAGAAGGGGGAATACTTTCCAGAAGAATTCATTGAAAGGAGTTCACTATTTCATTATGTTGTTTATAATGCCATATATAATCTGCGATACATAATACAATTCTCAGTTTCAATAAATTGTATTTGACAAAGGTGTTATTACAAAGTTTTTGATAAAAAATACAAATATTTTGTGAAATTGTGAAATGCTCGACTTATCACAATAAAAGTGTCAAAAAATCACTGGAACTCGAAAAAATTGTGCAATAAATTTACTGAAGGGGGAATATTTTGCACAAGAATTCAGTGAAAGGAGTTCAATCTTTTATATGATGTGCTGTATAATGTTACAAATGATATTCGATGTTTAATACAATTCTCAGTTTTAATAAATTGTAGTTGAAAACGGCGTTATTACCCAAGTTCAGGATTTAAAAAAATCCAAATATGTTACGGAACTTTGCAATATTGAATTTCTGAGAGTGAACTTCTTTTCCAGTATCTTTTTCCTCAAGCCTGTGCTGGTCTAAACCGAAATACTTCTAGTTTTCATTGTATCTTGTATCACTTCAGAAGTATGAACTTGTTGAATAAATTAACGTTGCACCTCAGTTAAAGGAAAAATGCTGCAACAACAGATTTGTTGAAAAATACCCAACAAATTTTCTTCGGAATTCTATTTTTCATCCCATGAACTCAAAAAATGCTCTTGGGCTGATTACAAATAATGAATTCATATACAGTCAAACCCCGTTAAACCGCCCCCCAATAAACCGCCACCCTCACCTCCCGCCATATTTTTACCCCAAACAAATCTCCCCAATGTTAAAAGGATGGGGAAACCTCAATAGACCACCATCCGCCAACAATTTTCTGGCCACAAATTGGCACCTGCCCTTGTTTTTTTTACCCCTTTAAACCGCCAATTTGGTGAGAGATTCAATTTAAAAATATGAACAGAATGCAATGTCTGAAAAATCAAAACCAAATGGATGCAATATTTGCTACAAAATTCAACAAGAACACTAATAAAAGCGCACAAAAAGTCATGTGTTAATGTAAAGATATTCTTATATCCATCATGCTTTTTCTTAATTTTTTTTGTCTTATAGTAATTTTGTAGTGAACCACTACCCTCAATAGACCGCCACCCTGGTTAAACCGCCAAAATCTTGCTGCACAGATGTTGGCGGTTTAAGGGTTTGACTGTAGTCTGTTTCTCATAAAAATTATCGTATTCCGAAAGTTTTCACCATTTGAATTTCATTGAACATCAGCCGCATATTCCGGAGAAATCGAGTCCAACTTGATACGACCGAAACTCGAAATGCAACCGAGGAACCTGGAAGAACTTGTCGCAGCGAAAAATTTCAAGATCACCATTTACCATCGCAACTTGTTCCTCGAAGATCTCAAGGCAAGATCTTTTTCATTTTCGAACCGATAAATGAAAATAATCATGAAAAAATAATTTCAGCAGACTTTGAAGCGGAAAGAATATTCATTGCTGTGGGACAGACTTCAAAGCACGGATCACCGAGGACCAGGGATTTTGACCAACGCAACCAGCAGGACCGCAGTCATTTCCGCAGTACAAGAGAAGAAAAGAGCGCACATTGTTGGCAAAATTATTTGCACGGGGATTCTTTTGCAAAATGGACTGGAAGAAATGGCCGTTGTGAGCCCAGGGATGAATATCCTGACTCAGATGATGGGCGTTGCTGTTCGAAAGGGATCTCCACTTTTACCAGTCGTGGATCAAATGTGAGAGAGCATTTATAAAAATTGCATATAATTCATCATTTTGATGCAGAAGCATAATACAGGTCATATCGGGTACAGAAGGGCTTCCAAGGAGCCTGGAAATAATTATCTGGATTAAATCCATTGTGAAAATATTGATAAAAAATTCATTTGAAAACTCATTGCTATAAAAGTACTTTTTTAATATAGGTGGAACTCTCAATCTTGTCTATAACGATCTTCTCTTATGATGAATTTTTGTCCCATATATAAGGTTCTCTCCAATCCCCATGTTATAGAAGTTCTCTATAACAAAATTTCCTGGTCCCTTGAATTTCTTTGTAGAGATAGATTCAAGCTGCATGTGGAAAATTCTTCTCAGACATATTACCATAAAAAGTCACTTAAAATAATCTTACAGAACTAATTTTGAAAATATTACTATAGAATTCAATTTTAAAAGATTACAGGAGGTACCTCGCAATTTGATGTCCTGCTATTTGACCATCCTGCAATTTCATGGTTGCATTTGTTGGGACATTGACTTGCAATTTTGCCTTCTTGCCCCACAATTTTACCCGCAGAGAGACTCAAAATGTCAAATTTAATTTTATGTAAACAAATATTAAATTTGACATTGTCTTGCAATTTGATAGCTTTGAAATTTGACCCTTATACCAAGCAACTGATTAGGGTCAAATTGCAGGGCACCACCTGTACCACCAAAATTAATCTTAAATTTATTACTATAAAAACATAATTTATAAATAGTGCAATGATACTAAAATTAATTAAAATTTACTTTTAAAAAAGTATGAAAATCCGGCATTTGTTTATAACCATCATATCCAAGCATTCAAAAGTGAAGTAACCCTATTTTTCTCGCAGGATACAGCAAAAATTCAACTATTGCTGAAGTAGAAGTCCCTGAAGCTAAGAAACTGTGTCTAAAAGTTTGGGTAGGAGTAGAATAGCTAAGAGGCTTTAGTACTATGTACAGTATCATTATTTTTTCAGTGGGTTTTTGGGGTGATGCTTAGGAAATTCCTCAAGAGATAGAAAAAACTGTACCTAAAATTGGAACAATGATCAGATTTCTCAATGAAATCATGTCAAAAAGATTGTGGCGCACAGGCAAAAAAAAATGAAAATGAGGCAAAACATAAATTAGGATGAATAAAACACTTGATCTGCCAGGGAACATGGCAGGGAGCCCTTTGGTAAGGACTCCAAAAGACAAGAGAGTTATATTTCAAGTCAGACAAACATAATTTTGATTCACACAGATAAAAGTGATGCTCAAAGGAAGTGTGCGTAGCACAAGGAAAATTGGGACTGAGTAAAGCATTTGCATCAAAAATGGAGGAGGAGAGTTGATGGTGCAATTGGGGTGTCAGGAGAAAATCACTAATTCCGGTTTTTTAGAAAGAAAAAATAGTTGCCTCAGACAAGCACCAAAGAAATTAGTATTAATCCTAAAGCACACTTTTTTGCAAGCTGGAGAACCAAACCCAGGTTTGGTTCCCAGGCTTGCCCAAGGACAGTTCCCTAAATGTCCTAAGGAAGAAATGAAAGTGGCCAAATCTGGCCTTCATCTTCTAATCCCAAAAGTTGTAGTGGTCACCCAAAAACCACAAACATGGCACTCCGAGTTGAACTCTCAAATTGTTCAGATCTCCGGAGAACTCTTGTGTGTGTCAATCTTTGACCAATTCCAAAATTGGTATTCTTGTTCTTACATACTTGTGAAAGTCTTTGTTTAAATCAAACTTGTCTTTGGAGAATACACCACTTTAAACTAGGACAATAAGTCCTGGCCACAGCCTGGCTGTTCAAACCCTGTTTCATTTTTCTCAATTACTTAGAACAAGTTACAAATTTTGTATACGTTCATCTCCTCACTTTTTCACCTTTTGTGTGGTAAAAGAAAAGTTTCTATCAAATCTTTTCCTCACATGGGGAATTCCTGCGTGGAATTCCCTGTTGGAAGAATGTGCGTGGAAGTTGGCAGGGGTTGCGCAATTGGCAACATCTGTGCCTAACAAATAAGTCTTTGTAAGTCAAGCATAGAATTAATAATGTAATTTGCTTGATGTCCCCAATAGTCCCCAATAGTCATCACATCAAAAAGTTGATTTGGGTTGGGTGGGGAGGGAGGTTTGGATTTGGGAATATTGATTGAACCTTGTGAATGCTGAAAAGCAGAAACTAAAGCTTTCTGTTCATTCATTATGTTCATGTCATCATCTACTTGATGCATGGTGTGCATTTCTTCTTTTAAAAAAAAGTGTTTGAAAAACAGTGTGTTTTCAAAGACATGAAGAAATTCAAAATAATTAGAAAATAAAGTACTGAATATAATTTCCCTTCCCTTTTTCAGGATCAGCAGGATGTTAGCAGCAGGTTTAATTGACTTCTGGACTAGGCATTCTTTGGCTAAATCCAGACAAGAATATGGCCTCAACACAGGACCAAGCTCAAAAGAAGAAAAGACCATGGCTTTGAAACTGGAACACACTTACGCCGCATTTTTCGTTTTGGGAATTGGAACAGCTTTGTCTTGCTTTGTGTTCCTGAGTGAATTTTTGTTTTGCAAATTGACTGCCAATAAGTACTGGGAGACCTGCACACGATTCCAACATATTCGACCGCCACGTTAAATATGCTTTTATCACTTCTCAGCCACACCTCTAAAATTTTTGGAATCTGTTCACTTTCTTAACCCTTGGGCGGCGCCGCCAGGATTTATTTGCACAATTTTGTTTTACTGGTAAAAGAAAAAAGGAAATACTGTACCTAGGATGATCCCAAGAGCCAAAGTTAGGAAAAATCCTAATTTTTTTTTCTGCATAGTGAATATATGCATACACATTTTTTTAAAATAAAAATTCATTTCCTGCCAGCTGGTTGCATTTTTTATACATTCCAGCTATTAGGATTAGCATAAGGGGGATTTTGAAGACAATGGTTTTTGCTCTACAAGATAGTTGAAATTCAGCTACTTGGCCAAATCTGAGTTTTTTTGACCTTTGGTCAAACCAAAATTCACAAGCATGAAAAAATTTCCCAGAACTACCACACAAGTAAAACTGACCTGCTACCACCTGTGCCCCATTTATCTCTAAAAACAGCTCAGGCGGAGAACAGCAGTTTAGTGAAAGGTGTTGCCTGACAACTTTTTTTTGGAAAGTTTTCATTGAAATGGTTCTTGTTACCATGCCATAGCACTTGGAACCATAAAACTTCATACCTTTTGAAAAGGAATTAAACAAGCTTTCATTCTATGTGTTTTTTATTAATTTTTCCACAGCCGTGGATTGACTGCTAAGATATTGCAAGTCAAAAATTGGTTCATTCTTTTTTGTCCAGCCTATATATATATATATATATATATATATATGATTGATGTTTTCATTGACATTGTAGACATTTGCTATTAAAAAGATTCAGAAAAGAAATGACAGCATTCACTATAAAAAGGAATGACAGCATTCACTATAAAAAGGAATGACAGCATTCACTATAAAAAGGAATGACAGCATTTATTGCAAAATTAAGAATTATTCATGCAACAGTTCTAAAAACTCAATTCCAAGACTCAAACATCACATGCAGGTGTGGATTCAAATGGTCTTTGACAATCTTCAGTTGTTAGGGCAGTCATCAATTGCATGCTAGTGACTCTCAGCTTGGCCAGGTCAGAAAGGATGTCAGGTCCTAGACATTTGGTTAGCTGGAACATCTGGGCAACAACATCAGTGGGATGTCCATGTTCTTTCAGAGGATCACATGGAATGGGCAGGCTTCCATCCGACAACACTGTCACATACGCTACCAGCCAGTACATGAGCTAGGAAAGAGAGACAGTCAATATTGAATTTTGATACAGTTGAACCTGTCAAAAGTCAAATTTGAAGAGGCTCCAAATAAATTGGAATTGGGAGGGTTGTTGAGTTTGTGAATAAGAATTTATGCATATTTTAATAAATGGAAATAATGTTCAGGTCAAATCATTAGAAATGTGCCTAATTCACAGGTGCGAAACCTGCAGGGAGATCTCTTAAAAATAGCTTTGCATGTTTGTTTGTTTTTTGAAAATTCATTCCTATGTTTAGCCTCAAACTGGTCTTGAAATTTGATTATAAAGGCAATGTGACACAAAACTTTTCGATTTATGGAGACGTAGATTGGATAGTACCAGAGAGAAATTTTCAGCATTTAAATGGAAATTAAAAATAAGAAGGAATATAAGTGACTCAAAAGCCATAATGCTGTGGAGAATTCCGTCAATTTAAGATAAGTTTTCCCGCCAGATTTTGAACAAGAGCGGAAAATCTCTTTTCAAACTTGGAGATGAAGTGATCAAAAATTCGCTCATTGATAGGTTCCTGTGAGAAAGCAATGAAATGATTTTTTGTTCATTTAAAAAATTACATTAATTCATTTGCTTTACACAATTTTGATAAAACACTTTCTGTGTTGGATTGACCAGAGAGACACATAGCACTCAAAGGAACTTTTTTTTTTATTCTGCAATCAATTTTGAATTTCCCACTTGATTGCAGATTAACTTTACAGAATGGAGGACACATGGCGTTTTTTGTCATTTATTTTTCACAAGTTTTTGCGCGTATAAAGAGAGGAGACTTCGTAATTTATGATGAACCACGTAACATACAGCCCTCCCTTTCTGGCTGATTTACACCTGATAAAAGTTCTCTTGAATTTATAAATTTAAAAAAATTACTGAATGATAAATTGTTGCTTGTTCGACTGCCGGAAACTCACTTCAGGGATAGCAGGCAAGCAGTTGTTCCTCGTCTTCTTCTCCAAGAAGTCAATCAAGATGACGTTCAATGCGCCGGAGTCCCGCAAAGAGCCGAGCATGGTTTTGAAATAGATGTCGCTCTCGATTCGGGCAGCATGCAGCAGGGCAAACTGGTCAGCCCTCCAGCACACCTTTTTCCTGAGTAAGGAGCCCTCCACGTCCACACTGACTTGTGGCCTACGTTCCAACACTTTGAATCGACTCAAAAAAGATCTCCATTTGTTTGACAAGCGCTGCTCACGAGCCACTCTGAGTCTCATCTTTTCTGTGGCTATTTCTAGAGCTGAGAGCCTTTGTTCTGGGTCGGCTGAAAAAAATTATTTATTTTGAATAAGGTGTTTTTTACAGTAATGTATAGTGTTGGTATATATGCGTCTGAATTCCAGATTGGGCCTCTCTTGTTTGAAAATATGTGCCTGAGGTGCATCACACGCTTGAAATTTTTCAAAATTTATACACCATAACAGCATCTGTTACAAAAATGGCATTTTTGGAGAACATATATGCAGTAATGCAGCAAGATATGATAAGTGACAACATTTTTTGTCACTACAGTATGATATTTTCTTAAACAAGATTTGAAAAAGCTTTTCTGTAACTTTACTTTAATGACATGATTTATTGAATTCAATCAAAAATTGATGTCTGAATTTAACAAACAGTTATATTTTTTCCAGAATTTACGTGCTTAACAACATATCTGATTCAACAAACTTGCCAAAAAATAATAAGCTCTCTCACAAAAATTGCTCAAACAATGTACCTTACAAGAAAATTTAAGAATATGTGATGTAACAAATTTTTCATTATCAAGATGTGTTGTAACAAAATAAGCTGTAATAACAAGAAGTGTTGAATTCAATCAAAAATGTATGCCTAGATTGCACACACATTTATCTTTTGTCAAAAGTTATAGTATACCTAGCATCTATTGATATGTGGGAGATATGTTGCTTAATAAGATTGTTTGTCCAAAGATATATTGCAACAAGATCTTTTTTTTTAAGCAAGATTGGGTGATGAGATCTTTTTTCATCAAGATTTGTTGCACAGTGTAAAGATACAGTATATATTACAGCAGGATTTCTTTTGACAATATCTTTGATAGCTAGATTTTAGTACCCGGATTTTAATGCCCTAACACTAAATCCAAAGGCTGTGTTCACCAAGAGGGATTTGTGGCGGTTTTCCAGCAACTTTTCTGCCTTGGCGTGCCCATTGCAATAGTACATTCACGTCATCAGAGGTCCAAGAACCTGGACCTGCACTGTAAGCCAAAAACTCCTTCTTCTTGGCAGGTAATTGAAGACTCATGTTTGTCAAGTCTCCTTCAAGCTTATCCCTGTTCCAATTTGAAAAAAGGATTCATTTACAGCATATTACAGTATGTATTGAATGAATTTATGAAATTTGCCCAGCAATCAAACATGTTTTGAAATTTAAAGAAAGGGTGCATTGCCTCATGTAAGTGTTACTATTCCAGCAGTGTCTCTTTGAGTCATTCGTCAAAGGATGATAGAAATATAAGCTCAATATTTTAGAGAATGCACTCCAAACCATTCAGTCTTGTTTATATTCCGCTCACCTTGATTCAAATGGAGCATAAAGACTCAAGATTTTAAGTGCACTTACTGAAAAATGAAAATATAAAACTGAGATGAAATTTACCTTCATTAATGACCAAGCCTAAGTGCTATACCAACAAATTCATGACAAGTAAAAATATCTTGGTTTTAATGACAGCATATATGAGAATATAAATGATGGTGATAATACTGTAGATTTATAGACCTCAAAACCATGCATCAAATAAAAAATACGGTACTTTCCTGTTATCTCAGTACCTCACTCCTAGACCGCACTACCATCCAGACAAATCTTTAGGACAAGTTCATAATCACGACGCCCTACTTGGCCTACCAGAAACTGTGAATTTTATTTTTCCGCATTCTGCTGAAACTGATTTTGGGAGGCAGTTAGGTTAGGTCAGGTTATGTTAGTTAAAAGATATTTGTAACTAACATAACCTGACCTAGCCTAACATNATGTTAGTTAAAAGATATTTGTAACTAACATAACCTGACCTAGCCTAACATTACCTAACCACCTCCCAAAATCAGTTTCAGCAGAAACCCAAAGAAAGCAGAAACTGATTTTGGGAGGCGGTTTGGTGAAGTTAGGTTAGGTCAGGTTAAATTGGTCAGAGGGAAGGTACAGAGATGACAGGAAAATAGGTAGTGAGATAACAGGCAAGTACCAAAAATACATTACATATACATTATGAACTTTGTAACTGGGCCCATGAAATAATTTGAGAGCCATGGATAAAAAGGGTATTAGAGCTATACCCAGTTATGAACTGAGTTAGGTACTAGTTGGGTACAACTTGTCTAGAAAATTCAATTGGTCATGGGGATCATTCTTGGGTGTGAATTTTGTTTTTGTTTTTTTGAATTGAACTGAATTGAACAGCAAGTTTTATTGTCTACTTTTCAGCATTCACAAGGTTCAAGCAATGTTCCTGCATCCAAACACCCTCCCCTCCCCACCCACATTCATTACATCAAAATGTAAATTAGAGAAATAAGCTGTATATGGATATAAGAGAAAAGAAAATACATCACAAAATGTGCAATTGTTTTAAATACATGCACTTTCTTTCCTTCGCTGATAACAAAAACACAATTTCAATAAGAATTGCAGCATAGGGCCATTACTGATCCCAAATTAAAGCAAAAGGTGTTCAGAATGCTCCCAGATAAGGTTTTTATTATTATAAAATCTGGAGAGAATCTTTGCTGAGAAATCATAGGAAGTTAAAAGTTGATCTTATTGGTCCTCTGAGATTTTGGAAAGGGCCTTTTCAGTGAATTTTAGGAGTCCCAACTCTTTTTGAAGCTCATTTCTGCACCTCCGGAAGACTAATTTTTCAAGATGATAGATGTATATACTTGTAGTAATACTAGTTATACAGGATATTGCATGGATATACGGTCTAAAAATTCCTTATTTTCTTAAATAAAATTTCGCCCTGATATTTCGCGGATTATATACCTCAGGGTGAACAGCAGACGTTTCGATGGAGTCACATTTTGACGGAAAGGAATGCAGTTTCTTTGAAAAGCTCGTCTCAGTTGTTGTCCGAGGTCCTCATCGTCTCCTTCGCGACATTTGTCTGACTTCCTCATGTATTCAGCATAAGGACAAGCCCCGGCAAACTTGTCCAATGTGCAGATTTTCTCTCGCGTTGCCAAATCAAAACTGGAGTCGGGTGTTGATGGGGTCAGCAATTCAGCAGAAACCCCATCTGCACTTGGCGACGGTTCCTCGCTATGAATAAATAGCACAAAGTTCATAATTTAAATTGGCACACATTTTCAAATCCGAAAACAGACTTGAAAAAGAGGGCGTATGTTTAAAGGTGCTGCGAATTTTCGGTGGGAAAAATAGGGGTTTTGGCCAAAAATGGAATTATTTGTTTCGCAGTGAATTTAATAAGTCTTGTATATGTTATTGAAAAAAAAAGTCCGAGCATACGTGAATACTAAAATCAATGAAGCCAAACCTGAATAGATACAGTATTTGTCATTAACGTGTAGAGTTTACGCGGGAAGTGTTAGGCACAGATGTCGCCTGGCGCGACGCCCTCCCTTCCGACGTACCTATAAAAACTTCCAACGGGGAAATACCACACTGGAATTCCTCAACTCCCCTCCTCCATTTTATCGTCTCAGTCCCGATTTTCCTCGCGCATCGTACACATTGTCAGTGAATTTATTCTTTGACATTTTTGCGATAAATTTCTTTACTCTTTTGAGTCCTTAAAGGGCTCCCTGCTGTGCGTGTTCCCCGGCGGGCCAAGTGTTACATTTATCTAAATATGTGCTTTTACCTCATTTTTCTTTGTGGCCTTTGTGCCACAATAGTGGTAGCATGCAGAGTGTGGTTTGTTAAAGATCCCCGAAAATTCGTGTTAAGAATTCATTTTTCTTTGCGTGGACTGTGCGCCACAGGAAGTTCGATCGTAATTAACTTCGTTAATTTCAGTAAAGCACTAATAATTCGGATTTTTTATTTCTTTCAAGTATGAGCAGAACTTTGGGAGCTATCCTAGTTGGGGGGACCCAAGCTCAAAGCTACGTCCATGTAGATGTCGCTAAGAACGGCAGACGGAACGTCCTAGGCGGCATCCATTTGTGTTTCTTGAATAATTCTCCAACTATTCAACATCACTGTTCTACCGTACCGCATGGTTAGCCTCAACAACAACAATCACCAGTCGTTCTTCCTGATTTTAAAGACGAATTCCCTTGACTCAGGTGAGCGAAAGATTATCCCTGTGTGTTTCACTCACAAAATGCCGTGTTTCCGCGAAAATTAGAGCAGTTTTCAAGTGTATTCCAGCTTAAATGAATTCAAGCAAAACAACCTTATGCCAAATTTCCGGCTTTTTAAGCTTCATAAATATTTTGCATGGTGTCCCGTTCTTTTTGAATTATTTTGAATTCCCTTTTTCACTTGTTTCTTTATGGAAACGATGAAACATTTGTGACATTTAAAAAATTACATTATGTCCGAATCTGATGGAAGTGTAACTGAAAATGTTTT